TTGAAGTCTCATATGTTCAAGCTATGCACAGTGTGGTATACTTCTGTTGCCTGTGGATCAGGATGTAGAACTCTCAGGTCCTTCTCTAGCACCATGTCTGCCTGCATGCTGCCATGCTTCTGGCCATAATGATGATGGGCTAAACTTCTGAAACTGTAAGCCAGCCCCAATTAAATGTTTTCATTGATAAGAATTGCTATGGTCATGGTATCTCTTCACAACAATAAAAACCCTAGATAAGGCAGGTATAAACCCAATGACTCTACATCCTACTACAGAGATATGTACACATCCATGTTCATTGTTTCTCTGTAATAGCCAGATATTGGAAACAGACTACATGCCCATAAACTGATGAATGAATAATGAAAATATGGTACATTTATATAATGAAATATTATTCAGCTGTTAAGAAAAATGAAATTATGAAATTTGCAGGTAAAAGGATGGAGCTATAAGAAATTAGCCTGAGTGGGGTAACCCAGATCCCCAAAGACAAATATTGTACATTTTTTCTTATATGTGTATTTCAGCTCTTAAGCTTTCAATATGTGTGCTTATAAACCAAATAACCACAATCGATAGGTACTTAGTAATGTAGGGGAAAGAGAAGATCTCCCAAGAAAGGGGAAATAGAGTATAATGTTATGAAGAAATGAAGGGAAAACTAGAGTAGGAGAATTAAATATGAGGGAAATGGGAAAGAAGGATTAAAGAGGGAACATGGAGAGGGACAACTAACACCAATGGCCATTTGAGAAACTACATGGAAATCTACTACTGTAGAAGGTTCCTAAAATATATGCATATGTGAAAGGAATCTAAAGTGAGTCACTAGGTAATAGGAGAGACAATGTCCCAACTGGACATCTTATGCTACCAAGTAAAACTTTCAGTATCAACAATGGGCTATATCTTGTTGAGTCATTGGCTAAAGGGTCCTTATGGAATGCCCTCCCCCCACCCCCCAAACATCACAGGCTATTTCCAAGGCTATTGGTTACCTGATGGTAAGGTTCTATTGATGAAGAGAACGCTTGCTTATGTCATTGAACACAAAGAAGTTGAGCTGATGCCTAACTAGAAGTTTCCACCCTACTGACTAGTGTTCATGGTACTGGAAGGTACTCTGCATGCTACTGGAAAAGTAAGCACCAGTACCACAGCTATGAATTCTATGATAGTAGCAACCTGCCTGAAAGAAATATTGGTGCAATGGTCACAAATGTTATGGGAGTAACGAGCCATTTTCTGATTGGATTTAAGGCCCGCTCCATGAGATGAAACCCATACCTGACACTGCTAAAGTGACCGAGAACCTGAGATGAGACAGCTCAAGGGTCCAGAGGAAAACTTACTATTATTATTCTGTAAAAGGAGCACAGCAATAAAATGACTCCTAGTGACATGTTGCTTTACCCATAAACCCATGCCTCACCCAACCCACATCAGAGAAGCTTCTTGCATCGGATAGGAAATAACACAGAAACCCACAACTGCACAGGGTGCAGAGAATGAGAGATTTGGGACAACTCAGTCCTAAATGGGATGTTTTCATCAAACCTCTTACCGTCAAGGCTTAGGGAGGGATGCAGAAGAAGAGACAGAAAGACTGTAAGAGCCAGAAGAGACAAATGAGTCCAAGAAAACAATGTATTCCAGACACAATAGGACTGATGTACATATGAACTCAAAGAGAGCATGACCCCACACAAGTCCTTCATAAGTTCAAGATAGATGGGGTCCCAGTACTAAGACGGAGAAGTAGACACAAAGTCCCTCCCCTAAAAGAGAAACTACCCACAATTGACATCTGCTGGCAAAGGGAGAAATCGGTTTTCTCCAGTGAGTCTCACTGGGTGTATCAACCACACCCCAGGAGTAGCGGGTCAGCACAAAATGAACCCATGGTCTCTTTGGGCCCCTTTGTTTCACTTCGCTTGGTTTTGGCATTTTTTTGTCTTGTTGGTCTTTTGTTTATTTATTTTGATTTTCATTTTTGTGTTTTTGAGGGGGGGTGTTTATGTGTGCTTCATATTTTTTTGTTTTTGTTTCATGGTTTGTTTTTATTTTTGAAAGAGAGAGAAAGAGAAAAAGAAACTCAGGTTGGGTATATATGGAGACAGGGAGGATCTGGGAATTATTGGGGGAGAGGAAAACATGGTCAAAATATATTGTGTAAAAGTTATTTTTCAAAAAATGAGTAGTCTTCCCATTTGAGAGTTAGGATCTGACTTGGTGTACTCGAGAGCCTCCGTAGGGCAGTTCCCCAGGATGCCAGGCTCTCAACAGCCTCTGGGTGCTTTCTTGGACCCTATCCATCAGTCAGGTTAGAAAGTGGTACACATCAGGAGAGTTGAGCTAATAATTTCACGTAGGGTTGGCAGAGGAACCTGTTTCTACAGGTTCATGGTGGGGGTTCTGAGTATGAAGAGTCTGCAAAAGCAAAGCCCATGTAACACACACACACACACACATGCTCATGCACACACACATGCTCATGCACACACACATGCTCACACACACACACATGCTCATGCACACACACACACATGCTCACACACACATACATGCTCATGCACACACACATATACACATCACACACACACATGCTCTGCACACATACACATGCTCATGCACATACACACATACTCACACAAACATACATGCTCATGCACACACACATATACCACACATACACACATACACACTGCACACACATACACACACATACACCACACATACATGCATATATACATACATAATACCACACATACACACACATACACATGCTCACACACACATGCTCATCCATACACACACACACACACACACACACACACACACACACATTTCCTTTTGGCGTGGGAGAAAAGAAGATAATGGCATAAACATCCTAGAAAGCCAGACTGTTGGGAATGTAAGATGTGTTGGAATTTTTCAGTGTGTAGATTAGGATCAACAGGAAAGGATCCAGACCCCTTTCAAGCTAGGGAAGGTCAGAGAGGGAGAAGGACCTGACATCCCCTCAGCTCCAGTGGCCTTGGCCGGGGTGGCCCGACCCCAGCCTGCAGCAGGAAGGCCCAGAGAACTTGAGAGAGCTGGTCTTTGGTGGGAAAAGGAGGAGTGTCAGAAGCAGAAGGCAGGGAGGGGAGAAAGCTGGTGCTTCTCAGTTGTCAGAGGAAAGAAAGCGTAGGAGTTTCTTAGAGTAGGTAGAAGCCTTAGTCCGCTGTGAAGGGACAGAGAATGCAGGTCTAGGTGGAGCCAGCTGGAGGAACCTGGAGAGAAGAAATAGTGGTTCTGGATTCAAAAAGAGTCTGGGTAGGACCAACGGAGTGTAGACTTGAAGCGAGTGATCCATGCGGAGAAGTGTTAATTTTTACAGTTAATATTGTTCTCAAGAGAAATAATTTTAAGGCTGTAAAGAAGGCAACCAAGGAGAAGTGTTTGGGTGAGCAAGACTGAGTAGCTCTCCTCAGAGAGTCTGGCAAGCCCACCAGATCAGGGAGCAGAGGAGTTGCACACCTTCCTCATTCAGGTCCCCTTTGGGAAATGTGGTCATGCCACTGTGGTAGATGGAGGCCATGTTTCTGTTGCGGACTCAGACAGCCCAGGGAAAGTCTGGAAGAGCTCTTGATCTAGTGATAGGGATTATGGTGTATGGTCAGCGGGATTGGAAGGGGTTCTGGTGGGAGACTCATTGAATGAAAACAAAGGTCCAATGTTCATCAAAATTCCAGTACTGGAGAACAGCAAAGGCCCACTGGTGATGGACCCTGGTAGAGGGCAAAAGGCCTGGTGGTGATGGATGATAAGAGTCCTGGTAATGGTAATGGGTGTAGAGGACATGGTAGCAAGGGTAGGGAACCCTCCCACATCATGACCAGTCGCAAAGGTAGCTCTCAATCCTGGGTTTCAATACCAGGTGTAACATTTTATATCTAGAAAGAAGAGATAAGAGAGAGGTGCTGAGTCAACTCAACCTGCAGGCAAAAGGCTTATTACTAATGCAGTCAGCCCCTGAGACAAAGCAAAGTATTTTCCTTTAAGATCCCTTAGGAGGTAGAGAGAGCCTGGTTCTGTGACTTCTGTATGTGACAGAGGTAAGGGCAAGGAGCATTCATGACTTACTTGGTGTGACAGGGGGCACTCGTTCTCTGGGTGTGGGAGTGAGGACTGGCTAATGTGTGACCCATTTTGCACAAGGTTCTCTTGTTCCTCTTACAGTGAGCTAGCCATTTAGGGCCCAGTTACCCATAAAGCCCTCGACTTCCCTGCTTATGGAGCATTGCATTTACACTAGGTAAATCTCTTTGGAATGTAGAATAGACTCCCAGCTTCTGCCAAACCAAGAGCTAAGAATGTCATAGACAGCATCTGAAACAGCAGCCGAGATCCCCTGCTTGTGGTGACTGTATTTTGTTCCAGCTGATGTAGTTACAAAGTGTCTTGATTTATGAGTTTTGCACTGTTGTCTCTTATAGTTTCCTTTTTGCCTCTCTCTCTCTCTCTCTCTCTCTCTCTCTCTCTCTCTCTCTCTCTCTCACACACACACACACACACACACACACACCTAGAGTCTGCATACAAGAGAAAACTCATTATTGGTTTTCCTAGGTCTGACTTATTTAGTATAACATAATGATCTCCATTTCTATTCGTTTTCCTGAAATGTCATGATCTCATTTTTCTTCACAGCTGCATAAAATTCCATTGTGTGTATGTGTCACATTCTCTTTATTCATTTGTCTATTGATAAGCACTTAGGCTGGCTCCATTTCTTAGGTCCTACGAATAGAACAGAAATAAGCATGGACATGGAAATATCTCTGTGGAAAACTGACCTGGAGTCGGTTGAGTATATACCCAAGCATGGTGCAGCTGGGTCATATGCTAGTTTGGGCGTTAGTATTTAAGGACAACTACACATTGACTTTCAGAGGCTAACCAGTTTACATTTTACCAACATCATCTAAGATTCATCTTCCCCCTCACTTTAGGACTGTTTTATTCTATTTCTGTGAAGAACATATTTGCAGTTTTGATGGAGACTGGACTGAATTTATATGTGGCTTTTGGTAATATAAGCCATTGTCATAATACTGACTCTGCCAGCCGGTAAGTATAAAAGGGTTCCTATCTTCTCAAATTTCTTTCTTTAGAGTCATAAACGTTTTATTGTTGAACCTTTCACATTAGTTGTCTTTATTCCTACATGTTTTATTTTATTGTTGTTTGAAGTGATTATGAATGGGATTTTCACCCCCAGCCTGATTTCTTTCTCAGCAGTTTGACATTGGTATACAGGAAGGTTACCCAGTTCTGTGAGGTGGTTTTGCATCCTGCTACTTTGTTGGGCTTGTTTTTCAGATAGAAGAGTTTTCTGGTGGAGTGGATGGGAACTGTAAGTTCCCATTTGAAAATCAGGACACCTTGACTTTTGGAAGCTAATCCATGCTGGATACCTCATTTACAAACAGTTTCTCCCATTCCATGGGTACATTTTGCAGATTATTTGCCTGGCTATGGGGAGCTTTTTAGTCTGATATCATTCCACCTTTGTTACTTCTTTTGCTGGCTGTCCTTTGGGGTCATACTAAAAATGTATTGTCAGAATCTTTGTTTCTTTTGGTTTGGGGAGACAGGGTCTCAGGATATAGTTCATACTCACTCCAAACTTGTCATCCTCCTGGCTCAGTCTCTCAAGTGCTGGGATTACAGCTGTGTATGATATATTCATCCTCCAATTTCAAGGAGCTTTGCCTCTATACTTTCTGGTAAGAATTTTATAGACTTACATTTAAGCCTTTGGTCTGCTTTGAGTTAATTTTGTAAGTGATATAAAATGCTGATCTAATTTTATTCATTTTTTTGTGTAAATTGGATATTCAGTGTTGTCTAGCAACATTTATTAAATAGAATATCCTTCCTGGAATTTCAATACAGACCCATCAGTCTATGTCTCTTTTTATATCCAAACCATACTGTTTTGGTTGCTATAGCTTTGTGACATAGTTAAATCAAGAATTATTAGTTTCTCTTGCTTTGTCAAAATTGCTTGTGTTGTTTAGGATCCTCTGTGACTCCTCATGAAGTTATGGATCCCCCATTTCTGTGGCAAATGCTCTTGAAATTTTTATAGGAATTATATTAGATCTGTACAATAAACACTCTATCAGTGGGTCGAATTCATCCAACCATAGATTGAAATATTTGGAGGAAAGTGTTAGCTAACTATGTATGCTTTTTTTTCCTTGCCATTATCCCCTAATCAACACAGAACAGATAGCATCTATTTACACTGTATTACATGCTATAAGTAAGCTAATGATTTCAAGCATATGGAGGATGCTTGTTACATTTACATACTATAGGTGACTTGTGTACCTACCGACTATGGCATCCTGGAACTAATCCCCATTATATGACTAAAGGAGAACTCGACATCTCTGAATAATACGTTAATTTTAACACAGACTTTTCTATTTGATCTAATTCTGCCAACTCTAGGAACAGCAGGCATTGGGAGGAGGAATGTGAGAGTGACAATTTGGCCTCATTGAAGCTGCCCTGAGATTTAAGTCTTCCTGGCCATGGTACCCAAACAGCAAGATGCAGAGGTATTAATTGATGCTGCTGAGCTGGCACACTCAAGGATGACATGTTAGTCCTCTTAATCAGATCCTCATGGGGACTCTGGTACATTCTCAAGGCCGAGCCCGGTCTCAGAGAACCCCACTCTTCCCTCTGAACACAGCTGCCATTCTGCCCCACAACCTCAAAGTTGTCCCCAGCAGAAACTGAGCTTTGAATTAATGTTGAGTTTGGAGCCTGTGCTCGGTGCCAAGTGTTGTTGACGGCAGCAGTGACATTGCTCCAGCAGCCAGCTTCTATGTTTGGATTGGCTCTGAAGTCCTCTCTGCTTGGAGCCTCTACCTGAGGGTTCTTTTCTCTTCTTCCGAACTCCGGCCAGCCTTCACTTTGGCCTCAGCGAGCGATGCTGTCTTTTCCTTCTTCGGGTCTCCTGACTTTGGCCCAAAGTCAGCTTTGCCTCCACTTGGCTCCCTTGGCATGAATTTGGCTTCAGTCCCTTGGTCTGGCAGTCAGTCCCACATTCTTTCAGTTCTCAGAACGTTCATCTACCATCCTCAGAAACCCTCACTTCTCCATGACTCCAGTTACCTCTCCCTGCATCAAGGCTACGACATCCCTACCCACTCCATTTCAATTGGCCAGACACGTCTGCCTGCCTTGAAGAAAAGTGGGGATTTTGGCTACGTTCACTATACACCAAGGAACAGTAACAACAGAAAAGCAGGAAAAAAATCTCACATAAATCCATGAACATAAAATGGAAAAAATGTGGTCCTTGTGTTTATTAGAGGACAAAGCCTGGGGTGAGGGGCAGAAAGAAAGCAAATGTTACCTTCAGTGTCCCTTTCCTAGGCTGTGAGAACTAGGTTTGAGGTGCCCTTTTAGGGAAAAAAAAGTAATAGAATTCTTGGTGACATTCCCAGATTCCTTAAAACAAAACAACCTAACAACAAACAAAATGTAACCCCAGTGAGACACACATTCTCCCTCCACCCTGCCTCCTGTCCCCCATCTGAGACCCACCAACCCTCCCCACTTACCTCTTCCCCCCTCTCTGTCTCCACAGACACTGATTACCATGGTGGAGTAAGAACTTGGCTTCCCCTTGCCTCTTCTGAGGCAAAGAATGACCAAAATGGATCGGTAAATCTAGTTCTTTGCCTCAGAGGAGGCAAGTGGGAGGCACCTTCACAGGGCTCATTGGTAGAGGAAACGTGTGGAAAACAAACCACGGGCACTGAGAGGAAAAGATGGTAACAGTTCTGGTGGTGTTTGTAGGAATCTGAGAAGGCCTGGTGTGGGCTCCTGATAAGTAGTCAACTTGGGTGAAGACTCAAAAGAACCATCTCAAGTAAGGCTGTCCCAAGAACCCCTTGTGTGGTCAGTTTTACCACTTCCTTCATTCCGTGTGGCTTACCTGTGCTCATATCAGTTTATGTGTGTGGGTCTAAAGATCTAGAAGTTGGCTTAGTCTCATCCTTTCCGTCTGCTATTGGACAACAACCTGCCTAATGCATTAAGCATAAACTTAGCTTGCTGTTCAGAACAATTGGAAAGACAGTGATATTGTGGGTGAAGTGAGCTTCTGAGGGCTCCAGGAGAGGAAGAAGAGTCTACGCTGCTTCTGAGTCACATGCTTCCTACAAATCCTTGTACTTGCTGACCTTGCTAGGGCTCTTGTGGCCCTCCTGGTCACTGCTGATGCATGAACGATGATGCTGACTGACTGACAAACTGGCCTGAGAAATTACATTCTCCTCTGAAACATGTGTCTTAGGCTGTCGGTAGATGATCAAAAGGTCATTCCCAGCATTCCATAGTTAATGAGGAAGAATGCTTTGAGGTACAGTGGGATAACCGAAAGGGATCAAAGCCAGTACTGGATCTAAGAGTGTTCACTATCATTCCTAGTGGCCGAGTTGATTTAATAACAGACGGAGTCGGAGTGAAACACTTTGGGTAAGGTTGTACTCACAAGCTGAACCAGCACACTGTGGTGTGAGAATGCATGGAAAGACCAACATGTCTATGTGGTGCCAGAAGACTTTCCTAGAGGGTGCCATGTGACCGAGACTTGGCAGATGAGGGGGAGCTGTGCAAACTGGTAGGATGAGGCAGGAAGTGCACTCCATAACACATTGTATAGCAGACAGGGTTGACAAGTTCAAGGAATTACAAACACCTAGAGTATCAACAGCAGTGGGGCAGGGTTAAGCCCAGGTTGGGTATTGTCATAGTATAACTCCCTGTCCCCACCTCCCAAAAATCTTCTCCAGGACCACAAGAAGGACAGCCTTCAAGATCCTTGTGGAGGGAAGGCCATTGACAAGTGACTAGCAAATATAGCTGGTCCCATTAGGAATCTTCACAAGTGTGGCCAAATTGTCGCACTGATGTGGCATAGATAGTGTGGTGGCCAGCACAGCTGCCTTCCGACCTGGAGCCCTGGAATGCTGCGCACACACAGAACCTGTATGTGCTGTAACACACTGTAGAACCTCGACCAACGAGTGTTGCCTGACAGTGATTTGCGTGGCAGTGACTGCACACCTGGCAATTCTGCATACAACAGCTGGTGTTAGCCTCCCCAAAATGTCCACAAGCCAGTCTGGGCTGTCCCCCCTACTGACTTTGACTTTGGTTGTTGCCACCAGACTAGTAACCATCTACTTGTCTTTCTTCTTAGGTATTCTCAGTATACTGTTTTGCTTGTTTGTTTGAAATTCTGGTCTTCACTGCCCAAGGATTAAAACACACATGATTTCAGGCCTCCAGTGCATATGGAGTTGGAACTGTGGAAAGTTGGGTTAGGAAAGGGGAGTTGAGGGAATAAGAAGTGAGAAAAGGAGAGGAGAAAGGTACTGCATGATGAGAGAAAAGAGAAGCTTCTCTGTCAAGTGACTGGTGTTGTTTTCACAGGCCTTACACAGTGCTGATTGAGGCTGGCACTGGGAGGTTTGGGTTGAGACAGGGGCTTTCTGCAAGGTTGCTTGTTGGGGACAACCATTCCCCTTGAGCTGGCTCTGGCATGAGGCTGGGATTCTGGTTAGGGAGATCACAAGCTCTGGTTTTTTACAGCAGCAACAAGAACTTGCTTCTTTAGAGTCTGAGATTGGAGGCTGGCTAATTGTCACTTTGCACAGTTTATATCACAGCTCAATATTTTATCTTGTACTGATTATACTCATTATTTTAGAATTAAGAGAAAGGTGCTTCATTAAAATCTTTTGAGAAATTATCCAAAACTTGGAAATAAGAAGGAAGAATGACTGTCATCCTTTTAGGGCTCTGTTAGAGCCTCATCTGACTGTCTGTGCCAAGGCCTTACGTGTGGAAATGAAATGTTGTTCGCCTTGGTGCTTACAATGGTAAGCATGACCCGGCCTCTATGAAGAACAAGCTGTCCTGTCTACACGAGCACACAGTTATGTGTCTGCTTTGCACACTTCTCAGTGTAGTGTTTCAGTGCCACTGAATGTCATAAACCTGGTGAATTTTACCTCCTGGTAGATCTCTCGGAGGAA